AATCCCGGATCCGCCACAGTCACTGATCATCATAAAAAAATCATTAACTTTGTTGCTGAAAATGTTGAGAGCTGGACGGAGCTGACCGCCGAGGCGAGAGTGACCTTGTTATGTTGTTATTTAATTAGTATTTATGTTACAAAAATCGAGACAACAGCAAATATAACTAATTCTTTATTTCAAATAATACAGTTACATTATAGTAACTAGTCATAAATGAAATTCCATTATTTTATAATGGATGATAAAATCAGAGTAGAAAGAAGTATGAAAACAAATTTATTGGACACTAATCACGCTTTACGAAACGTATACCAACCATGTCTCACACGGCCGACTGTACACAAAAACATGTATTGCTGTATTGAGTAGCTGGCGGTCGTACGTCTGTGGTTTGACTCCACACCACCGAATTCCCACAGAGTTTACTACAAAAAACCATACACATTATCGACAGTCCGGTATTCGATCGTACGTTCTTTCCTAGTCGCTACGAGGCCTATCTTTGGTGTACTTTTTCAGAGATTTTAAGAGGTTGCTCGTCGGGACGCACCCTATTTTTGGTTGCCCGACGCAGAATTTGGTTGCCTCGGGACGTCGGGCAGGCCACTGTTCCCTGGGCAGGCGATTATGTTAGCCCTGTGACTAAGGTTGTTGAAGAAGTATATACCAATTACAGTAATCATAAAGATGGCAACTAATTGAATTCTTCCTAAATTTGAACTTTCGATTATATTATTCTTTACAAACAAAACACATATGTAACGCATTAAGATGATATAGCCTTAACTTTCGGAATATTTGACGAACATATCTAATTTAAATTACGGTACATGGATTTTACAAACAAGACTGTTGAAAAACATCATGCAAATTAACTATGAACGTGGAAAACTGAATAATACAGTTTAATTAGAATTCTCTTTTTTCTTCTTCCTTTCAAGCAAAACACGATAGAACGAGCTCAGTTCATCCCAGTCCATGTATCCTCCCTCGAGATGGCGTTGTACACCTTCAATGGTTGGATCAATAGAATACTTCGTGCGCGCGTGAGCCAATCGTCTGTTGTCCATGCAGAGAATCTCTCCTATAAAATGATTATAAAACAGAAAAAATTGGTTTATATTATGGATTTGAGGACGAAATATAAAAACATTCAATCAACATAATTGACGAACGATTGAAGTCAATAAAATACCAGCTCCATGATGAGACACACGAGTCTACAAAGTACAAAGTAATTATTGTTCAACTATCAAATTGCATTTGACATAAACACGTGACATGCCTAAATATGGTCATGGTAACGTCACATCATAATCATATATAGGCACATCATGACCATATATAGGCACATCATGACTATATATGGGTATACAACATCTGGACAGGGTTTTAAATACAAGATGTTTACGATGTACCATTCGTACGTTTCGTTTTATATCTAAAAGATTTTTTTAAATTCAGTATTTGTTACACATGTTCCTTAAAAAGAAAAGGTTTCTGAAAATCAAAACAAAATCTGGTTTCATAGCCTATCCAAAGATATAATCAAAAATGTCATTTTTGTGTGTATTTTGTTAATCTAATTTAGTACGTGAATGAATGATGGAGACACGGGGAGTAGGCCTATACCCACACACACAACGCGATTATATGCAAAACAAATAAATAGTATTCGTTTTATCCTGTACAGGGGAGACACTAGCGAAGGTCCAGGGGTGGGGGAAATCGGCCCCTCCCCATCGGGGACCTCTGGACCCTTCACTTGGACACCCTGTCGGGGAACTTCCAGCAAGGTCGTCGGGGAAAAATGAAATCTCTACCGCCGAAAGTACAATTTAGGTATGCCTTACAAAGCTGACAAATTTGTAAGTATTAAAAACTGTTTAGTGCGAGCAGTGCTACCTTATGTGCCAGGTGTTGTATACTATCGCGATCGTATGGGTTGCAGTGGTAGTGCCAGATCTTCCCCGCCGGGAGGGGGGAGGCCTGGCACCTCTGACAGGTGATTAGATACCCCTGACAGGGGCATTTTAACTTTCATGGTTTTCTATCAAATTATCCTTCTTAAATAAAGAATACAATACAATCAACACAATTTTTCCAACGGGGTGGGGAGGCTAGGCTTCCCCGATGGAGGATGGACCCCTTGTCGGGGAGTTTGGACCCCTTGTCGGGGATCTGGACCCTTCGTCGGGGAATTCCTGGCGCCGCGCCTGATTCTGTATCACTATACACAACTCGAACAAAATATGAAACGGCATATATCGAAAAAAAAAAAAAGAACATTACAAACGCATTACCTGGAGAGAGTCGAAGTTTCACAAGGTTTTCCTCGCTATAAAGGTAGCGAAAGAAAACCTTGAGGGCGCTGTACACTGGATAAACTTGTTCAGGAGGTACATTCATACTGTGATGACGTCCAAAATGAATATTCACTTGGTTAATGTTCCCTTCGTGTCCATAGCTACATAAAATACATCAAAAACCGTAATCTTCATGAACCAATAGGAAGGGCATTAAAAAATCTCACATAACACTCAGACCGTTATAAATTCTATCTGAGTCAGTCATCACAAAGTGTTTGGATTCATCATCCTCCTCTCATCCTCAACATTATCATCGTCATCACCACCATCATCCTTGTCATTTCTTCTTATCTTCATCATCATCGTCCTCATTATCCTACATCATCATCCCCATCCCTATCATGACCATTATGACCATCACCATCATCATCATCGTAATCTTCATCATCATCATCAACATCAACGTAATCATTATCGTCGTCACCACCCTATTCTCAATCATCAAAGATTAATACCAACGCCACAGCTGATTTTACAATCACTAGCACCACTCTTACATTATCGCACCATTATCCCATCGTCGACGACGTCTTCGTCGTCGTCGTTGTCGTCATCATCACCATCATCATAACCACCACCACCACCATTATCATAAGTATAATCATCATACTGAGAAAATGGGGCAATAGTTGTATTTTAATAATAATAATATCCAACAGGAACTGAACTGGCTAGATGGAAAGTTCATTATGTGACGTCTTCAACTCAGGATTCGAATCCAGGAACATTAAAGTGAAAGACGAGCATGCATGTATTCATACCATTTTACACTGTTCTTTCCTGAAGATGACCCAATAAAGGTCGAAACGTCAAATCATGACCTCCCTTTCTTTATTCGGAGTAACATTTGTCTGTTTTTCACGTACACGTTTTAACAACTTAGTTGGTGTAAATATTTAAATTGGTTCAATAAAAGATACTGAAACAAGTGTGATAAACTTCACTTAATCGTTTACATTACGAGGTAATGTACAAGTGTGTTACACATCATTAATTAATAAGTAGTTGAAGCTTATCAATTAAAACATTAATAACTTACCTAATAGCTGGCTTGGAGACTCTAAAGTGAAAATCGTTGAAGTCTGTACCGATGTCCGTAAATTCAAAGAGAGTACTACTCAGAATGCTGTGCACCTCTGGTTCCTCTTTCTTCAAGTCTTCTATGACTTTGAATGTATCAACAAGATGATTGTCGCCACCTTCCGTTGACTGCTTAATGCAATGAAGCATCAGCAACTAGAAAACAAAAGTTAAGAGACTAAATTATGGTGGCAATGAAAGATGAAAGTCAAAATGTTAAATTCCATAAGGTTGGTATTGAGCTATAAACAATGAATACAATTCGATAGTATAGTACAATGTTAAAGATGTTCTGGTTTTTTTTATATAGTACATTATTTAAAGATTTTCGGTATATCAGCAAAAAAAACAAAAAAAAAAACAAACAAATCTTGTATAATCAAAGTCTTTGGTACAATTTGTATTTGGAATAAATCTTTCCGGATTGTTGATCAAACTTAACAACTGACCAGTCAGAAGAGAGTGGGTAATATGTGCTTGTCCCAAGAACACACGTCCCACAAGCGCACATGTGAGCATACGTTTACGCTATCGTTTTGAAGGACGTTAGTAGCAATATCTAAGGGGCATGCCTTAGCGGAAAAACTCCTTAATTGAAAAGTTAATTATTCTTTGCATTGACCCTTGGCTTTAATTATTCTTTGCATTGACCCTTACATTTTCTGATAATCAACTCCGTAGTGAATAGCGGAAAAAAAATAATAATCACCTCAAATCAGACGAAATAATAGGACGACAACCTTATTTTGTGAACTAGCGCCCATTCACATAATCATCAAGCTCCGTTTAACCCTCGCGCCAACCCCTCCCCCCTCCCCCATTTCAACTTGTTTTCAAGACTCCGAGATACGTCACTGTTCTTTGATTATTGAAAATGAATATTTCAATGTTTTTAAAAGGGTTTTACAAATTTGAGAAATACATAAGGCATACAATTCCTACAAACGAATCAGAACAAAACCTATAAGCTGGTAGGCTTAAAATTCGGATGTTTATTTTACATATCTTAGTAGAATTTAAACATAACTTGTAAAATATGAGCAGAGCTAGGAAAGAATTAGAAAATTGAAAGAGTCAGGACCGGGAGTCAGTGACGTACCCAGGATTATTCGAGATTGGGGGGGGGGACCGATGCGATTGGAGCATTGCAGGGGGAGACCAAATGAAATTTGAAACATTTTATTGAAATTTAGAATTGCAAAAGGCACACCAAGACATTTTGGGATGTCTAAATAGGACGACAACCATGATAAATAGCTACAATACTATGACGCAACACTTGCTACTTAGAACATGGCTCCCCCTCCGGATAAGTCACTGGAACGAGTGAATAAAATCGCCAAGCTGGAACTACGTACGCTCGTTTTTAGGAGTCGCGATTATAATGTTCTTTATTAAAGATAATGATATACAGTATAAGTAAACGGGTAGTCCAGTGGGAAAAGGGGGACATCACCACCCGACGAGGAACAAATTTTAATCTTTTCTATACCAATTCTTTGTGTACATTTCCAAAATGGAAGGTGGTCAGCCAAGTTCGGGGACGTTTTGTGATATAAGGGGTCCAAGGTCAAAATTGACCAATTATAGCAATTTCTGTGAATAACCAAATATGAAGCCTAAAATACGATGTTTGATCAATTTGGTATGCTTTTAGATATCCAATTGTCATTAGATAAGTAAATCAAATGATTTTAAGCAGCCAATATTTGGGGTCAAGTTTGACCAATTAACTGGCCAAAATAACAACTTACAATATTAACCAATCAGGAAAGCTACAATTATTGTGTATAGGCCTATAACTTTTTCTTTTGTGATTTATGTAGGCCTACACAATCAACATAAAAACCAAAATCAAACATTTTGGTCTGCGATATTAAGGTCAAAGTTAAAAATTAGAAGTTACTATAATCAGTAACCATCGAGAACATTTTGTGTTTCTGCTTTCTTGACTTAAAAATCTGGGGTTTTATAAGTTTATACTTATAAATATATAATTATAATAAAATCACGCACGAGTGATTCCGTTCTCGTTCGTAGTATTAGCACATTTCGGAAAGCGCCACCAGCGACGTCAGTTTATGTCGAGAAACTTTTTATGCGAAATTAGGTATCCCAGAAAAAGTATACTAGGAACGCCATGCAAATAAGTAATACGGAACGCCATTGGTGCCAAAATCGATTTATTCTTAAGCATTTTCACTGATTAAGACAGAGTTTAAGGACTGGAACCCAGTCTATGTTAACCTTTGCTTTTTAATGCTTTTAATGATGGACGCGTGTAGAGCCTGTCTCTTATACACATCTAGATGTGTATAAGAGACAGATATATATATATATATATTGCTTGTTTAATCTTACATGGCGATTATAAGTTATATGTATATAAAAGATTTCGACAATATTCATGCGTAGGCTATTGTTTCTACTACCAAAATCTGACCAAATTGCATAAAGCCAGAGTTAATACTCCAGTAATAATGTGCACTGAAAATGTATCGTTCCATTGAATTGATATACTGTACCATGGATGGTGTGGAACATTAAGAGTAGAAAAAGTGAATGAATCAGATTAGTGGAAATGTTTTGTGAACATATTAAATGTAAATTACAGATTAAACTGCAAACTACGGAAAAATAGAAAAAGTAATGAATGTGTATATATAAAACAAAGGAAAGAGAAAGAAAAAATAGAGAGACATATAAACAGAATGCTTATAGAAGATACTGTAAATAAGGTTATGGTAATACTAAAAACTCTATTGCTTTCTAATGTAAGTATACTACTTGAAATGAAGGGAACTATGTTATTATAATTAGTTATATAACAATGATTTATAACTTTCATAAGTGGTTATTTTTATAATCAATTTATGGACAATCACTGTTGGTCAATTTTTAAACTTTAACCTTGATATCGGCCGATCAATTATCTGATTTGATATTTTTAGGGTGATCAGGTACAGTACTAAAAGCGCAACACAGATATTTAACACTGAATTGTTGATTATGATTGGTTATTACAGTAAATTGTCAACCAAATTAATTGTTAATTTTGATCTTGACTCGACTATTGACTGATCAAAGTACATTGATTTGTCTGTTTCTTTTTTTTTTTATTGTGATTAGGTCTTTCATGATTGGTTATTTTTATAGTGAATTATTATAAATGGACAATTATTACTGATCAACTTTGAACTTTAACCCTGCTATTGGCTGATCAAATATTCTGATTTGATATTGCAAAATAAAGATATGACACAAAATTGAGCATATAATGACTGATTATTAACAGTAATTTTTTATAATGGTCAATCAAAGAACATACTCTGACCTTTGGCACTATCGGCTGATCAGATTATACTGATTTTCTTGTTTTAATACAATTATATTTTATCTAAAAGCATAAATGCTAAAACAACAGATTTTAGGTTTAATATTTGTTAATTATAGTATTTTTTAACTTGGAAAATTTTGACATTTAACTTTTGATATCTCGAAAACGCCCCCGAACCTGGCTGATCACCATTCAGATTCGTAATCTACACAAAATTTTGGTCTAGAAAAGTTGGATGAAAATGTGGTCCTCGTCGGGTGGTGATTTCAACTTCTATGGTCTAGGGGACTATACCAACAAGTATCCGTCTGTTTAAAGAAATCGAAAGTTGTAAGGTCCTCAGTACCACAGACAGGGTCCTGCAACCGCTAAAATTTGTCGGTAACACCGAGGAAGCCGCATTTATAAATTAGGACAATATGCAAAGACTCCATAGATAGGCATTAGAAAAAGGTAAAGGTAGGAGAATAACCCATAACGCGCAGCGTCATTTTGCTGTTGCGTGTGGGCTTGGTCTGTGACTACCTAGCAACCGTAAAGAGGCACTTCATGGTAGCTACATGTTCACATCATTCTACAGCGACAGGGGCTGAAATAAGCCATAGCATCGGGATATCCCCCTACTCTTACGAAAGATGCAATGGGTTCTTTAATTCCTTATCCGAGAAGACTTATTTTTACAACCGAACCCTGCGCCGATTTTAAGGCTGTTAGCAACGACCCGGCTTTACCGCTAGGCCACTCGACTCAGCATTTTGTCTGATACACTACTTACACCAGGCTGACTTTTCATAGCACAGATATCGGTGTGGAAGTCTATAGCTGTGTCTGTGAAGGCGATGTTGTTGGGATCATGCTTGCTCATCACTTGAAGTGTTTCTCTACATGATGAAAAACAAATTAAATGACAAGTATACTATACTTATTATTATTCTTATCATTCATCTTTATAATATTTTTTTTATAATTATTTTTATTTTTGTTTTTTATGATTATCGTAATAATAATCCAAAATAAATAATAATTATAAATAATTAAAATTATAATTGTTTTGATTATTAATGAGGGTGCACAAAAATCGAATTATAGCAGGTTAAATATACATTGTAATTTAGTTATTATTATTATTATTATCATCATCATCATCATCATCATCATCATCATCATCATCATCATCATCATCATCATCATTATTATTATTATTATTATTATTATTATTATTATTTGTTGTTTATAGATTAAAGTATGATTATTATCATCGAATCATTCTTTATTCAAGAAACAATAAAAATAATGTAACATAAAAACCCAGGTCATGGCTTTATCAAGCGCACACAAGGTGTCAAAAAGGAAAAACAAAGATAAAAGTGTAAATATATAAAACATTATTTTAAAAAACAATGAAATATACCAAATTGAGAGCAAAAGTATTCATTTACAATTATTGATAATTCACCCACTCAGGCGAGTATTTGGTGCTCCAAATGTCATAGCTACTAGTCAATACAAGCTCGTTATTTTTTTGTTATACGTTTTACCGGTACATCGTTTGCTGTTTAGTTTTTTTTAATATCAATAAATAATAATTATTACATTTAATTACAATTATAATTAATTTATATTATTAATAAAGGCGGACTCCAACCCTACCGTAACCTTCAAAGGTTAGGTAAACTCGAATTATAGCCGGTTAATATACATTTTTAAAGAGTAAAGAAGTGTAGTTTATATTATAATTTAAGCTATACTGTCAGAAGTATTATGTAAAGGAATTTTACCCATAGTAAGTTTTTCTCAAGTACGCCACTCGATCGCCGATCTTTTTAACTTCGGTCGGCGCAGTATCTGCATTTTGTAAAATTGCGACCCCCTTAGTGTGCAACACAGTCAACCATCCCAACAACGCGTCATCATTCGTCATTACATCAGAAAACTGAAAAGTAGGTATTGCTCCCTGTAACTCACTCCCCCACAACTCCTTATTTAACTGACGTAAAGGATCCGAGAAAGCGGGGAATTTTTCTCCTTCAAGAAATGATAATGGGTATATTCCTTTATGTCCATCAGACCAATCGATAACAGCAGTGCCGTCGTCAGTAAAATGTATGTTGTTTGCTTCAACATCAATATCTAAGTCGCTGAACTGCAAAAGCCTCTGCGATGATAACTCATGGTAGCACTCTCTGCATCTGCAGTTATCTCTAAGCCAAACATAAGGGTACTTCTTGGACTGTTCTCCGTCCAACTTAAGATTCAGCCATTTATTTTTGCCATCCAAGCCTGCTGAAGGAAAGCGAGGTCCGTGTCCAGATTGAATGCACAAAGACGTCGATAAGTTTCTATACCCATAACTCTTTCTATCCAAATTAAAACTCAGCCTAACAAAATGTTTTGTCAGAAGGCCAGTTGATCTCAAAACTTGAAGTGCCTTTGCCATAGTTTACGAGAGAGTGATCTATAACAGATTTATAAAAAAAAATCATTTGATAGATTAGAGTCAAGAACACAACACGTACATGTACGG